TCCTCACATTCAGTATGTCTAGGAATCTTGCAGATTGTATCCCAAATCCATCTACTTCTCCCCATTTCCTGGTCCAAGTCACCATCATCTCACTCCTGGATTTCTATACATATGTACCTCAATGCAGGGATCTTTGTCAGTTTTATTTATTAAGGTATCACAGAAACTAAAATAGTGCCTGACACAGTGGGCACTCAGTTAATATTTGTGGAATAAATGAATTAAATGAACAAATCCACCAATCAATGTCATCTTATTAGACACATTTAGAAGGCTGATTTCATATTAACAGAGCCAAAAATTACTCAGGGAAGTTGTGTGTTTTTTGTTTTTAGTTTTAATTATATAGTAAGTTGGGTATATTTGACTTTTAAAAATTAGCACTTTATTTCTATAAATGTTATTGCTTATTCATAACCAATTAAAATTAGTTTTGAAATATTGCCATCAATGGTTTCTCCAAAATGGTCATGAATTTGAAAGAATATATTAGGGATGAAAATGCAATTCTCAAGAAATGATTTTTCTTAATAAACCATATATCCTATAGAAGTAACATAACCAAGGAAGCTCAGTATCAGCTTATTCTATCCTTTCATCAAGAACTTTGTAAGAAATTTTAATAACTGGATCTAAAGAAGTTATGTGAATAATAGGGAAAGATATTGTACTTTACTTTTTTCTTTAATATACATCTTGCTAAAGACAAAGAATACAAGGAAATAAGTGGACTTGCTTTTTCCTGAATTATACATACTCATTGCTACATGGCCTAAATTTTTTTATAACTGCCAGTATTTTCTTTTTGTGCTAGGAAATTTAGCATTTTGCACTAGTTGTCTCAGTAAAGTATCATGTGGACATTTCAGGTATTTTTAGCATGTATGGGACCCTATCTACCCCTGCCATTCTCTGTCAGTGGGAATATTTATTTCTTATTGATTTCTGTAATGCTACTTCATGTTTTTTATTGCCAGTGAAAGATACCCTGCCTTTCTTACTCTCCCAAACTCACCCCTTTGGTTTCCACATCTGGGCTGATCTGAGAGGCCTTTTTGTTTTCCTTTCTAAACCCATAATGTTAGGCCTTAAGTCATAACGACAGCTCTAGTTTGAAAAATAGGACTTGTGGCTTTTAGGTTGAGGTTTCTATTTTCTGTTCTGATTCTAGATGTTTTATGTTGCCCCTAAACTCTGACACCTGAACAGTACATGCAAATGCACTCCTCTAGCTAAACTGACAGAATCATTAAAAGTGTGGAAAGGATTTGAGAACAACAGGGAATTCTAAAGTTTAGATGTTTGTAGCAATCTTTATCCATACCCAAAGTAAGATATATAGTGTATATGTAGCAAAATAGTAGCTATAGTAGTCAAATAATACTATGAGCCAAGCTGGCCTCCTGAGATATCAGAAGAGATGGGTTCTGAGGTCATACAAATTGGGAAATGACTAATTTGAAAGGACTTATAGCAAAGAAAGTTGTTTAGTTTAACCAGGCATTTCCCAAATTTATTTGAAGACAGAACCCCTTTTTCAGGAAACTTTTCAACATGCTTTGGAAATATTGGAGGAAAGAGAGCAGACACATTAGTTGTTCTAGAACTAGCTCAGGCATTAATCAACGTTTTCATTCATTCCACAAACATGTATGGAGTGACTGCTTTGTGCCACACATTGTTCAAGATGCTGGTGATATATACAGGGAACAAACCAGACAAAAGTCTCCATCTTTCCAAGGATTATATTATAGAAGAGAATATTATATAAAAGAGAATAAACATACTTTGTGATTTAGTGCAGGTACTAAGTGCCCTAGACAAACATGGGGGCAGGGTTAGGAGGTCGGGAGTAAGGAGTTGCAGTTTTAAATAGAGTCATAAACCTTGAGCAAGTCAGTGAACCTCTCTCTGTTCCTTTTCTATGAAATGAAGAAATTCAGCTAGATGATTTCTAAGGCCTGTCAGCCCTATGGGTCTGCATTAAAGACCAAGCGTTATCATACCAAACTGTGGTGCTGCTAGGTCACAAGCATCTCATTGTGTGTTTATAGTCACCTTAGCAGGAAAGGCTCGATATTAAAACTCACAGAGTTACTATCCAAGAAAAACTTCTCTAAGTTTAAATCATTTGTAATACCCACAAAAGAATAAAGCATTTATTTTAAATAAATGTTAAAGAAAAACCTGATGGTCTTATTTTTAATCTAGTGTGTTACCTCAATCTAATATTGAGTAGAAAGTATTTGACTTAAGGGTAAGTAACCCCTACAGTAAAGGTACCAATGGCTTTTAAGCAGATGTTAGCACACCCATGTGAGAAATTTGCAGTAGTGTGCACATTGCATTTCTGCCCTACATCCTTATGTAAATAGGAGATCCGTGACTTGATGTTGAAATGACCTTTCAGACAGTATTCCATTGCCACATGCCTGAGCTTGTATCTCGGAATAATTAGAAGCCTTGACTTACAAATCTCGGAATACAGTGTTTATGTTAATTATAAATGTCTGAAAGTTTCCTGAAACTTTTTCTTCAGAGCTTTTTATCAAAGATAGACTGGAGTTTGGGAGGAGGGTTGTGGAATGTGGTCCTAAATCTTTGATTTTCAATCTTTCATTTTTGGAATGAAATTTAAAATCTACTTTTCCAGGTACCCAGAAGATGGTGGTATATTTTTATATTCTTTATCTTGAATAAGAAGCTGTTTGGAATCATAGTCTTAGATACTTTTAAAATATTTCATTCTTAAGGCATTTAGCTAAAAATTTCAAGCTGACCATATTTAGAATACCTAAATATAAAGTTATACCCACTTAGCTATAGAAAAAGCTTAAAATACTATAATTAAAATTGAGAAGTTCCTATCACTAAAGGGATACTCTTCCAAGATAGCTTCTAAATCAGACTTCAGAATTTCTTTTCCCACGGTGGCTAGCCCAGTCCCTAGAAGTTGACCCTAGGCCCACTAATAACAGTAATTTCATTTTCATATTCCGTAAATTCAAAGGCCAGTTGATAAGAAATGCTTTGTGACCTTTCTGGAAGAAAGGACTGACTCCTATTTCACTGTGGAATAGGCTCCTGTATGTCAGAGAGATGAGTGATGAGTATTCGCAAGTTTCCTCACATCTAGTCTCTGAAATGTCTCATTTATTGCCCTTGATTAGACAGCTTTCAAATCCCACCTTAGATGTGGCCTTAACAGTTCCACAGAGTGGACCAACAGGCTCTGGTTCCCTCTGAGGTCCCATTGGTTTAGTTCTGAAGTCTCCATTCCCTCCACCCTACCCACCCCTGCCTGCCTAAATTGTCACATACAACCTGCTCTTTCCACTGAGTCAGTCTCCTGCTTTACTGCCCATGGGACCAAACTGTTATGCAGACTTACCAGCTATAAACATTAGTACTCCTTTGTATATCCATTTTATTTGTAAGAGTATATTTAGATATTGATACAAATAAATTTTGTATCTAATTTGTACCATCTTCAGGAAATTAGATATACTACATCTATAGACCATGTAATTTAAGCTTTTAAAATTTTGAAGATATAAAGATCACTTGATGACATCTTATTCAGATCTTTTCCAGGAAGCGCCTGAGATTAGGTCAGTTTGTACCATCTGCATTGCTGCAGCTCTAAAAACCACTGATGTAGAGGTCATACATACTTATATTTTTTTAGCACATTAATGAGTGTACGTGTATGTGTATGTGTATGTGTGTGCATCCACACACACCCGACAGCCAGTTAACTCTGAGTCTTAATCTTCCAATCATGGAAAGGACAAAAGGGGGGAGAAGAATGAGAATTATACAGCACTTTCCCCTCCCGGTTTTGTACTAAATTACTAAGACTATGTGTATTTGGGGGCTGGACAGCAGGATGTCATATTTTACATTCGTGCCAACAAATCCTTTCTGTAATTGTCCCTATGGTGGCCCCTGCAGACCCAAGGGAAGAAAGGTTTCAGGAGCTGGAAAGAGTGGAACAGCTGAAAGACAGTGAGAATGTTCCAGTTCATTTGTTCACATGTTTATGAAGCTTCTACCATGTGCCAGGAATATGACCCTGGTGCAGGGGCTCAGTTGTCTAGAGCAGTCCTATCCCTTCCCTCATCTAGCAGAGAAACCAGACTGAGCAAGAGCATGGAAAACATACTGTTTCACAGTGTTGCCTGGGGCTCAGCCTCACTGTGCCTTGCAAAACCATCTCAGTAGGCTGCTGACCCTGGTCTATAAGTATAAGGATGAATGAGGGGTTCATTTTGCTGTAAATGTAATTATGGCATTCACCTTATGCTGCTAGATATTATTCAAAAATATTACTCAATGTTGGAAGATTTAAATTAAATATGTATATATCATAAAAGAGCAAAAGATTGGGACATGGACTTTATCTTAGAAAGCATTTAAATGTGTTCTTTAAAACTGATTTTAGGAGAGGAAGGGAGGAGAGGGAGAAACATCAATGTGAGAGGAACATCTATTGTTTGCATCCCAACCTGCAACCTGGGCATGTGGCCTGGCCAGTAATCGGACCAGCAACCTTTCAATGCATGGGATGACACTCCACCAACTAAGCCCATAGGCCACAGCTATCGTAGAGAGCATTTAAGTATCTAGAAGCTATTCAGCAAGAGGTCGTATCAGCCAAACAGAACCTGTGTAGCTCAAAAGAGGACGAATTTTTTGGCCAATTCACTAGTAACTCTTTCATGTGAACTGTAATTATTTGCTTATTTGCAATGAAGATGGTTCCTCTCATAAACTAATTGCTGGGTAGAAGTGATTACTGGCACTTTAGGGTAAAAAGTGGATATGAGAATATGGTGAGTTATAGATATACCTGCCAAATTTCTTAGATGATTGGGTAACTTAAATGCAAAATAGGGCTCGGGCATAAAGTGAATGTTACTTGAAAGACGGTCAGCCATCAGATCATTTTATAGAAAATTTATAATTTGAGGTGTTTTTCTCTTTTCCTCTCCTTTTAGCTTGTCAAAATTCCCAGAAATGATCCCATCAATGAAGTACATACATTTAACTTCTATTTGTCAAATGTGGGTAAAGACAACCCTCAAGGCAGCTTTGACTGCATTCAGCAGAGATTCTCCAGGTAAGTACATTTCAGGGTATGCTAAAGGGAAAAATCATTTTTCTCTGAGGGTTTTTAAAAAATTAAACAATAAAATACATAGTAGTCATTTATAAATATTTATTGAATTGAATGGCAAAGCTCATTTATTTACAGTATTTGAGAAATATTGAGCACCTACTCTATGCTAGTAATTATATTTGTCACTGTGGGCAATGATCACAAAAATTTTAACATTCTTACTCTTGAGGGATTTTTAAAGTACAGATTTTTTTTTCAACTTATAAAACATGGTTTATTTGCTTGTTTTATTAAAGACAAGTTTGGGGATTTAAAAAAAGTTTATATTCACTGCATTTAAATAAGAGTGCCTTTTATAGTACACTCAAGACTAGTATTTAAGGGTAAAGGAGGAAAAAATCCTATATACCTTGCATATTCTTTTTCTTCTTCCCTATGCAAGCCATATTTTAAAGTAGATTTTTAAAAATCTTTATTCTGCAGCAGAATGAAAATAAGAAATTAACCCCAGCATAGCATTTTTTTTTTTTTTAAAGAAAGAATACAAGACTACACACCCACATCCCAGGGTACCATGGAACTCTTATCTACTTAGATTCTCTTTAAACAATACGCTACTTGTTTCACTCTTCTTTGCTCTGGTTGTTTCTGATTAAAGAATGGGCCCCTTGAGTAGGGGGAGTTGTTCCGCCTGTGGATAAAGACAAGGCCTTAGAGCCCTTAACCTCCCAGGAGTCACTGATACTGGCTCAAAGTGCCCTGGGCCATCCATCCCTATCTTGTCTGCGCTGCACTTGAAACTGTGTTAATGCTTGCTGTGCATGAGAGAAAGAGAAGGGAAAGGTGTGTTTTAAGTGAGCACAGTAGGCAGAGATATAAAATAAGACACATCACTGAAAGAGTTCTAAATTTCTCCTCTCATTTAAGGTAACTACCTTTTAATCTGCCTTTTCCCCTGAGTATATGTTAATTTTGCTTTCTAAAAATTGCCCACCTCCAAACTTATATTTTTGGTATAAATTGCATGTTATAAGTCTTATAGAGCTTTCTGCACTATTCACTGGAATAGCTAATGACTACATGTGGCTATTTACATCTCAATTGATAAAAGTGAAATAAAATTTAAAACTTTTACTTCTTCACTCAGACTAACCACGCATTACAGCCTCAATAGCCAGGTGTCTGGTTGCTGTCAGAGTGAACAGCACAGATATTAATTATTTTCACCATTGCAGAAAGATCTATGGGACAGTATTACAATCAATTCTAGAATCACCAAGTATAAGGGTCCTTGGTAATTGTTCAACCCCATCTTTTTACAGGTGATTTACCCACAGTTACATAATTGTTTAGTTAGTGACTAGGCTGAATGAGAACTGAGTTCTCTTAATTTTAGTCCAGTGTTCATGGCATACCACACTATATACCAATTTCTAATTGTGGTGCATTCACCTGGAATTCTTGTCTTTAGAGAATTATTATACTACCAGGGCCCAGTGCACAAATTTGTGCACCTTGAAAGGAACTGTGGGCCAAGAGGCTGTGGTGGGCACAGGGGTGGGTCTCGACCCATCCTCTACGCCCTCACCCAGCCCCTCCCGCCGTGGCCCCGGTCCCCTGTCTGCCTGTAGTCCCACTCCCACTGCCACCACTCCCACGCACGGACAGCACTGGCCCCACTCACACCTGCTGACGATGCGGAGCGATTGGTGCCAGCACCAGCAGTGGGTGCAAGTGGGGCTGGCACCATCAGTGGGTGCAAGTGGTGGCTGCTGTCCCGATTGCCCCTCAGGAGCAGGGGGAGGTGAAGAAGCCCTCAGGGGCGATTGGGGCCGGCAGCCACCGCTCGCACCTGCTGACGGTGCCGAGCGATTGGGGCCAGCGCTGGGTCCCAGCAGCAGGTATGAGCAGCAGCTCTGGCACCAGCTGCAGGTGTGAGTGGGGCCATCGCCGGGTGCTGGCAGCAGGTGTGAGTGGGGCCGGCACTGGCAGCAGGTGCGAGCACCAGGCGTGACCGTGGGCACAGGAGCAAAGAATTTTCAATAACCACCAGAGGCTCTCCCCGATGACAACAACCAGTGCCCCGTCTTGGTCTGGTGCCCCCACTCACCTGTTCCACCATCCCACTGCAGCCGATGCCAACCATGTTCTGTGCTCTGCCACCTGCTACCAATGTCCACCATGTTCCAGGCACACCTCCTGGTAGTCAGCGCACATCATAGCGACTGGTTGTTTGGATGTTCTGCTGTTCAGTCTATTTGCATATTAGCCTTTTATTACATAGGATAGGATAGTGATATCATTTTGACATCAAATTGAACAATGTCCCCTTAGGAGTTTTATTAACACGTTAAGCACCAAGCCTGTTTTGTCTTCCTTTCCGTTTAGCCCGCAATATCTGACTTCACCGATACGCTGGCGGCACCAGTGACTGACCAGTCCAGATGGAAAGTATAGTGTCAGTCACCAGTGACTGACATGGTGCTTAACATGTTAAAGAACTTAATTCCCTCTTCAATACCAGTCATATCATCATAGGTGATATGGTTTCTCCCTTACATCACAAATATCCTTTGTGCTTATTTCTACTTTGCTTGTTTGAAGAAGGATTTAAGGCAGCGGTTCTCAACCTGTGGGTCACGACCCCTTTGGGGGTCGAACGACCCTTTCACAGGGGTTGCCTAAGACCATCCTGCATATCAGATACTTACATTACGATTCATAACAGTAGCAACATTACAGTTATGAAGTAGCAACAAAAATAATTTTATGGTTGGGTCACAACATGAGGAACTGTATTTAAAGGGCCAGAAGGTTGAGAACCACTGATTTAAGGTCACTTAAAACTATACATGATGCAGCAAGAGAAAAGAAATAATTATTGTGAAAAAATTGGAGCAAATGCAATAATATGATCCAAGTGTGCTGTATAAAAAGTGTGATCCAAGTATAAAAGTATGATTCAAAGTGCTTTATAAAATGGTGTTGTATGGTATAAATTGAAATTTGCCACTAAAAAACCAAAAGTACTCAAACTTTCAGTTCTCAACCTGGCAAGCAAACCTTTTTAATCTGCATCCACCTTTCTGTTTGATTTCATTTTTATTTTTCCCATGGATCCTGTCTTTCATGCAATTGTGCAAGCTCCTCAAAGGCAGGGGCTTTCTTATGCCCTTTTTCTAGTCTTACAATGCTGGTGCAGCTCAAATTAAATGCTTAATAAATAGATGGTCAAAAACTACATATTAACTAGTCTCCTTTCTTATCTTTCTTTATAAATCTCCTTAAACCACACTTTCTCCTATGTAAAATGGAGGAAATCCCAAAGTCAAATTTACTTTTCAAAAATTCCTTAAATTTGCTCATTCACAGACCTAGTGAAAATACATAGTTTGGAGCACTCAAGTATGGGAAACAGTGAGCTAGGATAGAGAAAGACCATAGGATGTTTATATACATACTAGAGGCCTGGTGCACGAATTTGTGCACCAGTGGGGTCCCCTGGTCTGACCTGCGGGATCAGTCTGAAACCGGCTCTCCAACTTCCCCCAAGGGGTCCTGGATTGCGAGAGGGCACAGACCAAGCCGAGGGACCCCACCGGTGCACAATCGGGACCAGGGAGGGACGCGGGAGGTTGGCCAGCCAGGGACGGCGGGAGGGCTCCAGGGTGTCCAGCCCGTCTCACTCAGTCCCAATCAGCCAGACCCCAGCAGCAAGCTAACCTACCAGTCGGAGCTTCTGCCTCCTGGTGGTCAGTACACGTCATAGCAACTGGTCAACTGTCTGCCTCCTGGTGGTCAGTGCATGTCATAGCAAGCGGTTGAGCGGCCTTAGCATATCATTAGCACATTACGCTTTGATTGGTTGAACGGACGAGTGGACAACCAGACACTTAGCATATTAGGCTTTTATTATATAGGATAGGATGTCAGTGTATTTGAACTTTTAAGGTACCTCAGTTGAAAAGGGATGAATGGGAATTCTAGAGAGTACCTTCTTGCTTGCAGGGTTTAGTTTTCATGTAAAGATTTGTTTCTTGATCTTCAATTGTGCAAGTTGAGAAAGTTGTATTTCAAGTGAGCACAGTAGGCAGAGATGTAAAATAAGACACATCTCTGAAAGAGTTCTAACTTAATCTTGAATTGTGCAAACTAAAACTTCATTGTGATTGGCAACACATTCAGCTTATTCTCCCTATGTAAATTACATAGTAAGTAATGGGAGATCTCGGAATTCAAACTTTCTGCCACCTGTGGTCTTTTCTGTACTCTACTGCAATCTTCTATTCCTCTTTTTCTTCTCCATCCTGATTCCCCTGAGGCTTAAATCTCTCCCTCCCTCTCTCATTCCCCTCCTTTATCTGTTTCTCAGCATTCATACATGCTCAGGTGAGTCTGATTTAAAAAGAAAATAAAGATAAATAACCTCATTTGCAGTCACTTCTGGAGCCAAAGCCTGGCTTTAGTCCCCATTATTCCATTGAAACTGCTCCCCAATGGGAGTCCTTGACCTCCTTGCCCTGAATCCAGTGAGTGCTTATTAGTTTCTTATTACTCTAGATTTGTTGCCAACATTGCACACTGTTGACCACTTTGATTCTTGAAGCATTCTGAATCAGTGGCTTCCATGACACACTGCTTTTCTGGTTTCCTTGGCTTACCTTTCTGGCTTACCTTTTCAGTCTGCTATGGTCTTTTCATCTTCTTATTGCTTATTCTAAATATTAGTATTCTTCACAGTTGGTTCCCTCTCGAGATGTCTCCTAATTTCTTCAGTCACCATGTCCAACACAAAACTTATTTTCTCTCTTCCAACCCCACCCCAGTGTCTCAATAAGTGTTAGCTCCACACATTTGGTAACCTGGGCACAATCTTTTAACTTCTATTCCCCACTCTCTCCCTTTATGGCCAATGACTGACCAAATCCTATCAATTCTGCCTCCTCACTATCTCTGGAATCTGTTTACTATTTTGCATCCACACCACCCTACACCGGTTCAAGTCATCACTTCTTGCCTGTAGTTCTTCAGTAGCCTCCTAACTGCTCTCTTACCTTCTTCCTCCCAATCTGTTCTTTATCCAAATTGATCTTTCTGCAATACAAAGGAGATATTTTCAGCTTCTTTTATTCTTGGGATAAAGTCCAAAATCCATACCAGGGCCTCAATGCCCAGTGTATTGTACATCTCAGGCCCTCTTCAGCCTCATCTCTAATTGTCCTTTATAACTCCCTCTGGCTTAACTGAAAAACTCTTCCTTGCTCCCCCTGGGTCTGCACAGGTTGATCATCCTTCTGGAACATTGCTGTCTTTCTTCCCCTTTGTCTAGTCATCCCTTTAGGTCACTTGAGCATCACTTCTTCCAGGAAGCCTTTGCCTCTCCCCTCTCCCACACGTCCAGATGCAGCACTTCCTGGGAGTTCTCTACCCCTGGCATTTATCACATCATGTCATAATTTCCAATTTGCTCATCCTTGTCACTCATTAGGCAGAGAGCTCCTTGGAAGAGGGACCAGATCTGTCTCAGTCCTTGTCATAGGCTGTGTACTCACACATTGCTGGCATTCAGTCTCTGCTCCATAAATATTTATGAGACGAATAAACTGATTTTTTGAAAGCATTTGTACAGTTATTAGCAATTTAATAAATTTTTATTAACTCTTATTTTTTTAGCATTATAACAAAGCTATTTCCAAATAAGTTTGGAAATCGAGTATCAGAGCTGCAATGGCATTTCATTACTTTTATAGTCCAATCTGTTTTAAGGCCATGGTAATTATTTCTGACAAAATCTATCCAGTATTTTCTTCAATATTTACTATATAAATAGGTCAGCTTAAATAGAGATTTAACAAAGTGTTAAATATAAATTCTACAAATGTTTAAAATCTTTGGGCTAATAATAATAAAGTAAGTTTTAATGTGGCAGTATTTTAGCTTTAAAATTAATATCTTATTAAAAATCAAAAGAATTGCGGTGTGTTTGTTTTATCTAGTCTTTCTATCAACTATGTATATTATGGTCCCATTATAAGTGAACTTTTAACGTTTCTCATATCAGTGGTAGCTAATTCTTAAAAATAGTTGACTGTTAAATGAAAGAACTATAGTACTCATCAGGATTCTGGTATTCACTCCAAATGCTGATTTTCCAAAAAAATTTCATGGATTTTATCTCTGAGAGCTCACTTCATCCACTCTTTTCACAAAAATGGGAAAAAAGGTGACATGAAATGAAGAAGAGAAACTCAAATATTTTAAATAGTCTTTACAATTAAATATTACTAATATTAGTTATTTTAGGATTTCGGTTCTTATTCGGGCTGCTGATTTTAGGATTGTACAATTCTTTCTTGTACTTTATTGTATAAAATGAGGGGCATGTCTAACAAAGCCATCGCCTTACTTGACAGCTCTGGAGCCTCCCAGCTCAATTGCCTGGGATTTATACAAGATAAAATTACAGTGTGTGCAACAAACGACTCGTATCAGATGACACGAGAAAGAATGACCCAGGCAGAGGAGGAATCCCGCAACCGAAGCACAAAAGTTATTAAACCCGGTGGACCATATGTAGGTTTGTATATATATCTTTCTTCTTCTCGCTGATTGATGGGAATATTGCAAGATCACTGTAGGTAAATACTGGTAATATTAATTTCATGATAACACAAAAATTAGTTTTCAGAACAGTTTAGATAACATTGTCAAAAATCATTTATTCTCTTCAGACTACTGGTTAATTGAACAGATTTAAAGCTTTTACTTCTTTCATAAATCTGAATTCTGTGTTAGCTAATGGTTATTATTTTATGATATTGAGATCTGGTCAAGTTATTTTACTATGTGAGTTGTAAGAGTGGTACCATTGTATTTTCTTTGTCATTGGATGATGTAATTTCAATGGCGGATGGTGTGGTTTTTGTTTTGCACTTTTGTAGGATTATTTTTACAAAAATCTTTTTGTAGGATTTATGAGTTGATAATCTTATTGTTGCAGCTTTTGCTTCCATTTTCAGAGGATCTTTGCATAATAGTGAATTTTATTACAAAAGTATAAGATGTGTTTATAGCAAGCATTAGGGTTATGCCTCCTTCGTACCTCAATTGTGATGTCATTTATGGATCCTCATCCTCATCCATTAATTAAGAGCCTGCCCCACTTCCATTCTGTTTCTCATCAGTTCACTCATATGCATCAGATTGAAGGGAAGGAGGACCAGACCAGCAAGATGAGTCTCTCCTTTATAAGCAGTGACCCTAACAATTTTAGAGTTCAGTCACAGTGACTGTTAACAGTAACAAAGGGAATTGTCAAGACTGAGAATGAACCCTTTGAGGCTTTGGTCAGTTTAGTAACATAAGTCACTGGATAGTAAATGATGAAAGGATATTAATTTGGAAACATAAATGCTCACAGAAATAGTCTCTTGAAGAACCAAATCTCTTAATCAATATCTTTCCATAGTTTGTTAGAATCCTGCTTCTGTAATTTTCCCATTGCTGACCTAACTACAATACAGTCAGCTTTGAGAAGCTCCACTAGTGTCTTTAATAAGTATTTCTTTGGAACAAAGCCAGTGCTCTTGGGACCTGATGCTTAGCTTAGATACATGGAGTTTGGTTTAACAACAATTCATGTCTATACCCACGGGGTCCAGCTCCTGCCCAGTAAGTTACCAGCCATGAGACTTTCACCTTCCCTTTGTTGCTGAGTGAGCTAGCAACTTCCAACCCTCGTTCTTTCCCTTTTATCCTTCCTTAATTAATTTCTGTATTAGCAGGCTAAATCCCAGATTATTTTTAAAATGCACAAGATCTGCTGCATTTATATTTAAGTACAAACTATGAATTTGCTATCCCTGTCACTTTAAATGTATTTTTTTTTACTGTCCAATACCACCATTTTAGAAATAGTGAGACAAATTGGTGTGTTTGACAAAGGAATAGAAGACTCAAGCCATCAAAATCAGTTTTTCCCTCTCAGTATAACTAGCTGAAAACCCTTATGTCGATTTATTCCAAAGCTTGAGAGTCAGCAATGATTACTATACTTTTCCATTGAATGATCCTTGGGTGCTCCTTATGTCCATGTGTTTTTGTTCGTTTTGATAGGGTCAGGTACAGTTCATTTGCAGTTTACACAACAGACTTTTTAGCACCCAGAATCCCATAGACCTGTGGTCGGCAAACTGTGGCTTTCGAGCCACATGCGGCTCTTTGGCCCCTTGAGTGTGTCTCTTCCACAAAATACCACGTGCGGGCGCGCGTACAGTGCGATGCAATTGAAACTTCGTGGCCCATGCGCAGAAGTCGGTTTTCGGCCTGGGCGAGCCTATTTTGAAAAAGTACTGTTGATATTTGGCTCTGTTAATGAGTTTGCCAACCACTGACATAGACCATATACTCCCTAATTGTATGGGGATTTTAGAATTTGCAAGGTTTTTTATAGGCACTACAAATAATTTATATTTTTGGGAATGACCAACATAAGATTTGAGGTCACCTAAGTTTTAATCTGAACCACATTCCATCTATGCCATTCGAAGAGCTGGCCCCCCTCTTTGCACACATGTTCCCACATGGAAGCCCTGCAATGGACTCTGCCAGACTGAGTGCTGAGTCTTCTCCTCTGTGCTGTGTCCTCAGTGCCCCAGCCACTCACCATCACAGCACAGTATTTTTCTCTGGTCTTGAATCTTGTCATTAACCTCCTCAGCCTTTTATTCTCTAGGTCAAATAACCCCAGCTCCTTTTAACTTTTCTTAATATGGCCTGCATCCCAACCCTTTAATTATTTTTATTGCTCTCCTCTGTACTACCTTCAATTCTTCACCTCAAAGTTCAAAACTGGACAAGCTACTCTTAAGAAAAGTCTCATCAACTCTGAACTGAGGGGAGCAAAAGACTAGTATCCAGATGGGCTTTTCAGTTATTGTTGTTTTTTATTTACTGTTCTTTGTTATCCCATGTTTTGATTTTTTTTCTTCTAACTTTTTCCATCATTAGTCCTTTACCATGTGTCTTTCCTTCTAGGTATCTCAATGTATATCTTCCTGCATTTTTCAGTATCTCAAAACTACCTGACTCATTCAGCTCTCTAAAATGCAATCAGTCACCCTTCAATATTAATATTACCCAGCCCTTATTGAGTACTTGTGATGTTTAAGGCACTGGTTAGCATTTTACATACCACAACCACCCTATGAAGTAGATTATGATTACCTCTCCACCTCTCCTTTTATATATCAAGTTGTTGGTATCAGCAAGTAGCAAATGATATGAATTTGGCCTCACTAACACGTTATGTTATTTTCTTAAGACAATAGGAGCTACCTCTTTAATTCATAATTGAATATATCATATAAAATGATGCCAAAAGTTCACTTATGCCAACTTAGAGGTACCTGAAGAATAAGGTTTCTTTCAACAGTGTCAGCCAGGCTAGAGGATAAATGGGAATAATGCTGGTCCCATTGTAGGATTATGGTGGCATAATGCCCGGCCAAGCCTCTGTCGGTTGAATTAGGGCACAGGCCAAGTTTAAGGGAAAGTATTCCTTAGGGGTCACCTGGCTTAGTCACCCAAGAATATGAGCTTTGAAAGCCTTTTGTGGGCTGAAAAGAACCAAAACCTATTTTGCCTGGAGAAGTGCAGTAGAAAACATTATTTCTTCAGTCGAATTTCTACTTTGAGTCATAGCATTTATATCAGTGGTAAGCACTGTTGTGTTATAATCCTTCTGTTTGTTAAAAAGGAAAAAAATCACTACCATTGCTTCAGGTTTACTAGTATCTTAAGTCTGCTCAGTGACTCCTACCAAAATTCTAGAATTGTACTGGATTACAAATTTTTATAATGCTAATATTTACTTAGGTATAGAAAACAACCCAACCAATCTAATTTCTCAGATTCTGTTCCCAATTTTCCTAACTTCTGCCCCCATCCTTCTCATTTCTTATGAGTTAGTGCATGTTTGAGTGACCTCAGACAAATCATTTCACCTCTGTGGACCTTAATTTTCTCAAATATTAATTAAGGGGGTTTGAACTACATACATCTAGATTCTTTGTAGTTCTAACAATTTGTATCTGTTGTCTAAATATATTTTGATAGCAAACCTTTTGAAAAGTGGTCATAAATGCCACATGGTGGAGATGGATTCCACTGCAGGGGAGTATGTATTTAACCATGGCAGTCACACCATCATCAAAGTCCTGCCAGTGTTTTTAAAGCCTTGGGTCAGTATTGTCAGGGCTTCTGGTCAGGTTCCACAGAACAGAAAAACAGCTGCAGGAGATGGCTACAATCCCTGCTCTCTTTCTGATGTACTGTTTTAAGATTTACCTTCCAATTTACTCAGCCATTAGATGAAGTGCTATATACTTCTACCATCTCATTAAATGGGGAAGCTAGAAGTGGACCCCTTGTTATGAAACAACAGTTTAGATATAGTCCTAGATTACCCAACCCTATCAGGCCTACTACTGCTGTTTATATAAGGAACCCAGGGAATTGATTAGCGGTTGGGTCTGGGAAGAGAATTAGGTTCTCCCATAGGCTTTATTAAAAGGGCTTTTCTGAGGCAAATGTAAAAAAATAAAAATAAAGCCTTTTTTCCTTCCACTTTGACCCTGACATTTTCCAGCTTTACTTTTTTCATTTTCTTTAGCATCTGAACTCTTTAGCCACTTACAGCACTAATCTGTAGGCTCTCTAACCTTTACCAGAGGACTCCTTCCTAGTTGAATAGGCACAAATTGATCAGGAGTCAGTGAGCAAGTAATTTTTGCATAAAACTAATTGGCCCAGTGTGGCTGGATTGTTCTTTCAGCATTTTTTTTTTTAAATATATTTTATTGATTTTTCACAGAGAGGAAGGGAAAGAGATAGAAAGCTAGAAACATCGATGAGAGAGAAACATCGATCAGCTGCCTCCTGCACATCTCCCACTGGGGATGTGCCCGCAACCCAGGTACATGCCCTTGACCGGAATCGAACCCGGGACCCTTCAGTCCGCAGGCCGACGCTCTATCCACTGAGCCAAACCGGTTTCGGCTGTTCTTTCAGCATTTGAAAGAAATGGGTTACCTCATGACTGGCAATTTAAAAGAAAAATGAAGAGATTCATTGACTAATGGATGACAGTCTAGCATTAGGCCCTAGGTGACTCTAACACTGTCATATCCCTGTCCAGATTCTATTTTCTATTCAAACATCATACTTACACCCCTCTTAAGGGCAGAGTGAGCCTCACTTGTCTGCTGTATGTCTGCTTCAGGGAGGGGTGCGGGTAAACTCAGGAGACCTTGGGGTTCTCCTGAGACTGAGGATCAGAGGTGGGTCAGACGTACAGAAGAGTAAGACAGCCCAGAACACAGAGGAAGTACTGTCACTTTGTGTTTTCAGTTTTATTTGCCTGTCTTGTTGGCTTGAATTAATTCTAAATGACTAGTCATGGTGTGTTGAGCTTAAGTAAACATTCTCTGCCCACCTCCCTCCCTAGGGAGTTGGGGTACCCCACAGTAATCTTGTTTGGGTCAGAGTAAGTTAAAAAGGTTTCAAGAGGAAGGGAGTTTGAAATTATAGCATTTCTGAAACCTTTGTGACCCCAATTTTTTCTCTTCCCCCACCAAATCCCTATTAAAAATTCAGAGAATAGTACCGTTTGTTAGCACTATTGCAGCTGAGAAATGGTGGGTTGGGAGGTTTGCATTTGCCATTTTAGAAAGTTCAGTGTCTTCCCATTCTGGCAGTCTGGCAGTGTGGGAATATACACCGTTTTGATTCTGGCTTCTCTACTATCTAATTGTTCTCTTGCTGTCTTCGCTTTGACACTTTGCTAGTCTTTCACTTTGCTAGCCATTACATTCTGAATCAAGGTCTGCTGAGGGACAAAGCAGCCACAGCCCTGCCTGCATGGAGCTTGCAGCCTAACATGAAGCAACAGTGGACATTAGGCATTAGTCCATGAAACTTTTCCACAAAGAAGTACAAGTAGGAAAACTTGGGTATTTATCATAGAACCCTCCAGATGCTAAGAGAGCACTTTACCATTTGAGCTTATCCCATTGAAAGCAGTGCCCTCCCCAACACATAATTGATGCATGATCATCAGTTTGTTCAAAGCCCTTATGACATTGATCTAGCTGTCTCTAAATTAAGAAAAATTCAGAAACCAGATCTAATTCTAATTCCAAAACTCTAATTGCACCCTAATTTAACAGCTTTTCTTATCGTGGGACAATATCCCTTTAATGTTGAATTCCTTAGTTGTGCAGTGTTTTGATCTGATATTTAAAATTAGTTAAGTCCAGATAGTAAAGAACAATAAGAGCTAGTGACAAATTCATCCTTTCCCCTTTACTTTCGATAGGATGGTTTCAAACAGCCCATCTGGCCAGGCCTCCGGAGCCTAGCATGGACAGAATTATTTAGTAAATCTCCTGCCCCATTAAGCCAGTCATTTTCACCCTAGACCATAGCACTTAAATGACTGCTTTTACTTCGCCATTATTTCTAGTTGCTAAACTTGTACCTAAAGCTGTTGCCCCTCATTGTATGTCACTACCAGTTGTTTCCGCTTTTTAACCAGAGTGAGCAGTTAGGAGCTTAGAGTATATTAAATGAGTTATAAGATTACACCTCAGACATTATAAAATGAGGATCTTATACAGTTTCATTCTAATTTTTTTCTAGGTGTAATTTTAGAAATAATATGTAAGATGTTTAAGTTCTGTAAATTTTCATTTAACATCAAATACCTACATCCTTAAAATTTCCACTTTGTTGCTATGATGAGTGTCACTAATTATTATCAATGCATAGCCAAGTGGCCAAAATACTTTTATAATAAATATTTATTTCAATAAATGATTTCATCAAAAAATTCCTAATTCATATTATTACCCACAAATGTGTAACAAATATCGTTTCCTCTGGACTGTAGGGAAAAGAGTGCAGATTCGGAAAGCACCTCAAGCTCTATCAGATGCAGTGCCTGAGAGGAAACGGTCAACCCCCATGAACCCTGCAAATACAATTCGAAAGACACACTGCAGCAGCAGTGTTTCTCAGCGGCCATATAGGGACAGGGTGATTCACTTACTGGCACTGAAGGCCTACAAGAAACCTGAGCTGCTGGCTCGACTGCAGAAAGATGGTGTCAATCAAAAAGACAAGAACTCTCTCGGAGCAATTCTGCAACAGGTAAGAACAGCAGGAGAGAGTTCCTTCCACCTACCTTCTTATTGAGAAGTTCATTTAAGAAGGCTTGTTTTTGCTGTAACCATTATTATTATTATTATTGAGGTAGAGAAATTTCAGGACCATTTTTGCTATATGAAATATAGCTCCTGAATATTACATTAAAGCATTTGTTTAAACACTTAATTAAAAACTAATTGAAATGCGGGCATTTATACTAGGATTTATAAGTTAGAGGCTTCTGAATTGTTAAACAATTAAAGTTTTGAGTCACTATCTTCATTTGGGTTAAATAAACTTTATCTTGAAATTTCATTTTAAAAAAGTAAACAAGACTCTCTATTGTCTGTTTTTAATATTGAATCACCTAAATGATTGTCATAATTTTTATTGGTTTATATAGGCAGAGTTGTACAATGTATTACCAGTCTTTAGTTGGTATAAACTAGAATATTTTTACCTACTACATAGTGTCTTGCCCAGTATTCTACTATTGCGTAGGTTGAGATCACTTGTCTTCATTAAAGGATATGAGTGTATGAAGTATTAGTTCTGATCAGTTATCTTACAATCACAAGCTTAATTATAAAAGTAGGTCATAAATTTTGTTAAAGTCAATGGTTTGGAACTTCCTATATTTTTTATACTGACTTTGGGTTATAAATGTTGATTAGCATTCAAATCCACCATAGATGATGTCCATCTGTGAACTTTTTTCTAAAGCAGAAACATTTCAAAGTTGTTCTTAAATTTCATCATTAAAAAAAAAAAAAAAACACCCTGCAGGTTTTCATCTATTATTTAAAGAATAACACTTTTAAGTCTGTTTTTATCTATTCTCTCTTACATTAAAGGCATGATACTAACTCTTATGAGAGAGTAAAAGCATAATCTCTAGTTTTGGGGTGTTATTAGCATGTGTAGTACCCCGGATAATAGGAACTCTAAGGATTGTTATATTATTTCACTTTGAGAAGTCTGGTATCTCATGTCAGTTTATTTGCAAATTTAAATTTAAGATAAGCCTACCATTATCTACTTTATGACAGTATTAACATATTAGTATTCTGCCGAGCTGTGAGAAAAGCATATACTATCCTACTATATTTAATAGTACTTACACAGAAGTCAAGTTATTAAAAAGAAGACCTTTCCAGTAGGAACTGACAAGAGGAATCCTTTTCTGCCAGCCTTAAAAATGACTCTCGGTTTGATTCCTCAATCAGTACATTTGTGTTGTTAATAGAATCTAGGACTGGACACTCTAGGAATTGTAGTTAGGGGATAAGAAAAGATTACACTTGGGAATAAACTGGCAGACTAATAACAGTAATTGTATGTCATTTCAGGGTTATTCTGATTTGTTTCCATTTACTGGTTTTTGGAATTTCAAGGACTTTGAATAAGTGGTTCTTATTATCCAAGAAAATGACAAAGTTGTCAGAATTGATACTATTTATGGAGATAATTTCTGTTGATTACTGAAGGGAAAGTTTGCAACCTAACATTTGGGCACTACTTGGTTTCTACTTAATACAAGTGACTAAGGAATCAAAGTAGATAATAATGATAACAATGATGTTGATAATATAACTGCTTTTAGATTTCTTTGACTAGAAAAAATTTATTTTAAAAAATCTTCAACTTTTTGCCTAATGTCAGCTTACTATTTGATTAGAAATATGACAAGTGCAATGGCCATTTAGGGAGGAAATTCTTTTAGCTATTTACATAAAGTTTTAATTCCCCAAATAAAGTTGAACAGCATTTATTGAGAGCATGTATATGCAAAATGAGCAGTCCCTCTGTGGCCAATTGATGCAGTTATTTTCAATATAACTCCAAAAGGTTACCTGTTTTAGGTTAGTAAAGAGCAAAAGAATCTAATATTCTGTTCTGTTTTCACACCATGTATCAGGTAGCTAATCTGAATCCTAAGGACCTCTCATATACCTTAAAGGATTATGTTTTCAAAGAGCTTCAGAGAGATTGGCCTGGATACAATGAAATTGACAGACGTTCATTAGAGTTTGTGCTCTCAAAGTAAGTTTCTTTTCCTTTAAAAATGATGCATATAAGATTATTTTAGTCATTGTTATTTTAGTGTTGAGCTGGGAAAAGAGAAGCAAGGGTAAGCTTTCTATCATGAAAATTCTCTCCATAACTGGAACATGTGTGTCCTTTACAGAAAACTAAATGCATCTCAGAATGCTGCCAGCACCAGGCGTTCAGAATCTCCTGTATGTTCCAGTAGAGACATTGCTTCTTCTCCTCAGGTATTTCATAGAATTACAGTCATAGTCCTAAACGGACCTTTGGGGCATCTAGTTCAGTTCCTGTATTTATATGTGAGGGAAGTGAGGCCACAGAAGATGCATTGCTTGTCTGCCCAAACTCACATTGCTAGTTTATGGCAGAACTCGGTCTGGAATTCAAATACCATCTCTCAGCCCAGAACTGTTCTCCACTGTACTACAGTTCTTGTCAAAGTACTTAATGTTTACCTTGCTTTTCCATTTTTAAAGCTTACATTTTGTAAGATTATCTACTTTTCCATTTGGTCACTAACTTGAAGACCTATCCAATACTATATATAGTCTCATATTATATAGAAAATTGAATATATTTAATTTTATTTGAAACATGTTCCAGAAAAATATTCTTGGGGAAAAAATATGTTTAAAACAAGCAAGCAAAAAATTCTTGCCATTTTTATTTTCTGAAAATAATTTCAATTAGATCCCAATCAGAACACTGCAATTAGAAATTTAATCTGGCTTAGTTTCCCCTAAGCAATTCAGTTTGTCTTGGAAAAAGGTACGGAGATCCTGGAGAGTATTAGAGTTCAAGCCTGCTTGGTTCTCAGAGGGCCCGGCCAGCCTTGAACTCTCTCAGTTTCAAAGGTCTTTGGGACGGACAGTGGGACAGACCTCTTTGTCCCATACTGCTGACAGAATGCTCCTCTCTCTGGACTCCCCTCCCAAGGATTAGAGAGGCAGGACAGATGTGTGACAAGCCGCAAGCATGCGCTGGGTAAAGGCTATTTGTGTCAGAAAATATTAGCAGCCTGTTGTGAGGAACAGAGGAGGAACAAAATAAAAGCATTTCTGACCTTGCATGTACATTATCTATAGAAGCCTCAATTGTAATGCCACTACCATGAAGCTGCTTATATTTCTGACCTGATTATATACTGGGTACCATATCAATTGCTAAATTGAAAACAGATTAAATTAATGGGATGATTAACTTATTTTATCTCAAGCTGCAGTTTAAGCCACAGTATTTCATTGGATGTATGCTTTATACTTTTCAACTATCTGAATTTTCTTTTTAAATATTAATGTTGCTGGATTGGGCTAATCTTAGCATGATTTTTTAAGTGTTTGAAACAGTAATTCCATATCATTTTTATGGACCAGTTATTAAGACTTATTTTCTAATCCAGTGAAGGGGAAAAGTAAGTAATATTTTAACAATGAATAGTATTTCAGAGATACTTGGAGAAATTACTCTGAAGGTGCTGGCTGTTCCCATTTCAGACAGGTAAAATAATAAATGATAGTCAAAATATTCATAACTGGAGCATCTTACATTAGAGATTAAGTGTAGGCTTATTGTTCTGACAGAGTGAAATGGTACAAACTGCGTCCTCCTCTTATTTATTATAAATAGGTCAGGAGGCTACTTCTGTTTAGTACTCTCCTGAGTGGTAAAATTCACATAAATTGCAATAGTCTCTGAAAGAACTTCAGGTGGGGCTGTATGAGCAAAAAGATAAGAACTCCAACAAACATATACAGGGGTGGGCAAAAGTAGGTTTATAGTTGTTCGTATGGAAAGACATGCAGGTTATGATTATTAACAATAGCTTTATTAACTCAAGAATGTCACCGTGGCACAGTAAACCTGCTTTTGCCCACCCCTGTATTTGCCAGATTCTACTTCTTTACATTAGACAAGAATTTATGTCACTTGTGTTTTTGTGGCTTGTTTGTTTGTTCTTGCTTAAGTTTGGAGAAAGGTTTAACTCAACACCAGTGATAAACCTAAGTATGAATAAAATAACTCAATTATTCTTATGGTAACCAGGGATGCATATATTGAATTTTAGTGCAAACTGGCTCATATTTTTTTTCTGTTCCTCCCTCCAGAAACGGCTTTTAGAGTCAGAGTTCATTGATCCTTTAATGAATAAAAAAGCTCGAATATCTCACCTAACAAATAGAGTGCCGCCAACATTAAATGGTCATTTGAATTCCACCAGTGAAAAATCTGCAGGCCTCCTGCCGCCCCCTGCAGCTGCTGCCATCCCCACCGCTCCACCACTGCCTTCAAACCACCTGCCCGCCTCCAACCCTCCTCAGACTGTAGATTCTAACTCCAATTCCCCTAGCACTCCAGAAGGCCGGGGGACTCAAGACCTACCTGTTGACAGTTTTAGTCAAAACAGTAGTAACTGTGAGGACCAGCAAGATAAATATACCTCTAGGACTTCTCTGGAAACCTTACCCTCTGATTCAGTTCTACTAAAGTGTCCAAAGCCTATGGAAGAAAACCATTCAATGTCTCACAAGAAGTCCAAAAAGAAGTCTAAAAAACACAAGGAAAAGGACCAAATAAAGATACATGACATTGAGATGAATGAGGAAAAGGAAGAGGACCTTAAAGGAGATGAGGAAATTGCCAAGCTGAACAACTCCAGTCCAGATTCCAGTGAAGGTATTTTATACTTGTAAAAACCAACTACACATGTAAATTAATGGGAAGAGGGGACTGTCATAGTGTGAGGTTAGGTTGTTTATAATAGTATCAAAGGAGCTTCCATTTAGTTATTAATTTTAGTATTGTGGTTTTGAGAAGGCTTTTTTGGTCTTTTTTTATATACCTATTAAATGTGGTTTCTATATCTATATATATAAAAAGCCAGCGACCGGAACACTGTAACGACTGGAACAACCAGTCGCTATCATGCCCACTGTGGCCAACGAATCCCCTGATCGGGGGGTGGGGCCAGCTGGCCAACCTCCCATGGTCCCTCTCCCCATCCATCCCCGCCCCTGCTTGGACTCTCCCACCCCGATCAAGGGCGCGGCAGCCGGCCAACCTCCCACCCCCCGCATCCCCGCCCCCTGGCCTGCCCTGCCCCTGATGGGCCCCCACCACCCTGAGTGGCCCACAGCCCCTCTCCCTGGCTGGCCCCGCCCCTGATCGCCTGCCCCCCAAACCCCAATAGGGGCAGGGGCAACTGGCCAATCTCCTGCAGCTCCTCCCCCCACCCAGCTCCACCCCAGATCAGTCCCCCCACCCCAATTGGGGTGGGGCCCGCTGGCCAATAGCCTGTGGCCCCTCCCCCCAGCTGGCCTGGCCCTGATTGGGCCCCGATCAGAGGCGGGCCAGCCGCCCAACCTCCTGCCATCTCCTTTTCCTGACAGGCCTGGCCCCAATCTACCCCGAGTTCGTGCACTGGGCCTATAGTTTGTTAATAAGATGGTGAGTGACATTTGGAAATGACCCTGTCATACTCAATACGCCTTTAAAGAAAGGGGACTTTGCTGACCTTTTCCATACTGTAATGGTGTTATGCAACCTCAACATGACCTATTATATACCATTCTTGAACTGATTTAGCCAGGCACACGATTAGCAATAAAAATATTCATTTCCTTCTCTGCCAAAGAAACAGGGTCACCCTTGCTTTAATTAATACTAGAGGCCCGATGAATGAAATTAGTGCAAGAATAGGCCTTCCTTCCCCTGGCTACCAGCACCAGCTTCCCTCTGGCACCCGGGACCCAGGCTTCCCTCACAGCCCCGGCTTTGTCAGGAAGGTCGTCCAGAAGGACGTCTGGTCTAATTAGCATATTGCCCTTTCATTATTATAGATTAGCACAGGGGAAATATCAAATTCTTTATAGAACAGACAAGGTGTGAAATTACATTTACAGATTCATAAAATCATCTTCATTCAGAGTAAAAGCAATCTGAGTAAACTAACATCATTTGTTATTAGTAAAATTAACCATTTCAAGATGTGTATCTTTAAAAGCCAAATATCTAGAGACCCAAAGAAACTTAACATAATGCTTTACCTCTAAAGAAAAGCTAACCAATAGGACAGCTTACCTGGGATATATTGATTTTCAAAACCTAATAATAAAATTGGATTCTTTTTTTTAAGAGCTATCCTCTAAAGCATAATGTTGTACATGCCAGCACACAGAAGACTCCAAACCCATTATTTAGCATTGCTGCTCATTTTAAACCCAACATAACTAAGGCAAAATTCCCCAGGAAAATACGACTTTAGAAAAATTATTTTAATGAATAGAGCTTAAGGAGTATTGTCTTTCTGTAACTTGCCCTCAATATTGAAAGTATATAGTCCTTAGATTTAACTAGTGTTTTTACCATGTGAGTTTGATTATAGAATATTTTGTTACAGTGCCTTTATTGATCTGGCTTGAATATATTGCATGCCATGGTATATCTGAAAAATTGGCATCAGTATGGTACTATATAGTGGGCTAAGAGATAGGTGTAAGCTTTTTTCCTCAAACACTGTCATATAGACACAGGTCAGGAAAAGCAAGAGGTAATACAACCTCCTGCTCAGAGTTAGTACATCAGATCCCTGGGTATGCCCCACTCTCCCCACCCCCCACCCTCAGATGGTGATCCTGAGTCAGAGGTTAGTGCTGGGAAGACTGTGTCCCAGGATATAGAAACCTTCTTTAACTTGGAGGCCTGGAGAAGCAGACTTAGTCTTTCTGAATCCTTCAATGAGGATGTGCCATCTTTCAAAGACAATTGAGATGATCACAAACTGAGGAAAGGTCAGACTCACATCCCCTGTACCTTTTTGTTGGAACTTAGTTGGTGTCTGTGTCAAAGGAGAAGCCAGGTGACATGCACTTGATGTCTTTTCCTTTAAAACTAAGGCTGTTATAAAAACAGACTCTTTTACCCTGTGGATAAAATATACAGTAGTCCCCTTTAGCCCCAGTTTCGTTTTCTGTGGTTTCAGTTATCTATTGTCAACCCTGATCCAAAAATATTAAATGCAAAATTGCAGAAATAAACAGTTCATAAGTTTTAAATTGTGTGCCATTCTGAGTAGTGTGATAAAATCTCATACTGTCTCCCTTTGTACCAACCAGGATGTGAATCACCCCTTTGTCTAGTGTCTCCACCCTGTATGCACTACCTGCCTGACAGTCACTTAGAGTTGGCTGGGTTATCAGATCGACTGTCTCTGTATTACAGGGTTTGTGTTCAAGTAACCCTTATTTTACTTAATAATGGCCCCACAGCACAGAAGTAGTGATGCTGGCAATTCAGATATGCCAAAGTGAAGCTGTAAGTGTGTGCATGTATAGGAAAAACAGTATATGTGGGATTTGGTACGATCGGGGGTTTTGGGTACCCACTGGGGGTCTTGGAACATATCACCTATGTTTAATGGGAGACTACTATGAACAATAAGTCCACAGAGTTTGCATAATTTGTTTAGTATACTTTGTCCTTTTTTAAAATATTAAATCAAAAAATTATCAAATATTCACTTTTGTTTTATATTGAACATGTATGTTTTGCCAGCAGGCAGGGTTACGGCTTGAGTTATTACTTTAATTCTACTTTGAATGATAAAAAATTACTCAAGTAAAAAGTGTAAACATACCTTCTGGAAATGGTGCATTCAAACAATTGAAATACTGAGGGATTTTATACACTTCATAGCATAGTTCTGAGTGACTAGCACTTTATCTGTTTACTTGTCCTTTTAAAAACAAATCTCTTATTATGAGGGTTAGTGATTAGAGGAGTGCAAATCAGTGTTTAGTAATAACTTATTTTAAATTACTTTAAAGCGATGGGAAAATTTCCTACCCAATTCCACTGTCTGCATACAGAAAGGGTAGCAGTAAAAATACAGTGACGGAAGCAGTCTGCTACCTGCCTTCACTGTCTCGTCTGCCTTGTTTGAATCCTAGGAAAAGTAGATGTTGCTGTAAAATTTTATCTCCCATTGTCTGGCTGCATCTGCCACCACAGTCTTTGAATTGCTGGGCAGATGCCACAACTGTTGCTAAAAGAATAGAAGATTGACCTTGGGTTAAGATGGAATTCCTTTATTGTGCAGACACTGCAGTAGCCAGGGTACTTTCAATGCCTGGCGTCGGTTCTGCTGGCGCTGGTCATAGGCCTCTATTGTTCGTGTTCAATTGTATTCCTTGCTCACTGTTGCTTATTGAGATGGAAGAACAGGATTTGAGGGAAAGTGTTCCAGATGTTTCTAATCTATTTTAGAAATATAGGCATTTTTTAACCATATTGTTGGTGAACACTTGAATTTTTTTCTTTGTAGGAGTTAAAGAGGGTTGCCCTGCCTCCATGGAGCCTTCTTCAACAATTGAACTCCCAGATTATTTGATGTAAGTTCAGATGTTTGCCATTGGGAGAGAACTGTTTAATTTTAGAAAGTTTGCAAATTCTTTTCCCATAATTTGCAAATCAGAAAAGTAACAAGTTCCAGAAATAGTGTCCTGGAGCCACCCCTGCAATTGAAAGGCTGCCATTAAGCCTGCCTGTCCCAAATCCACCCAGTCGGTTTCAGCAGGTTGTGCCTCCCCCTGCTCAGAGCTCTGCTCGGGGGCCTTAAGTATAGAGAAGCCTGTCCTTTGTTCCGGGGCCAGGCCAAGCTTTTGATTATGGAAGATTTTAGGGATCGGACTCTTCAAAGCTGACAGTCTATCAATGCACAGACCTTCTCTGCATATGTTACTGGTAAAGTGCTTAAACCTCTGCAGTTAATACAAAGTAGAGATAGATTGATTTTGTTTAAACAAAGCTATGCCATCAAATTAACTTTAAGAGGAGAGAATAGTAAAATTTGATCATCTCACTTTACTACAGGTTATAATGTCTTTCTTGTGGCAACAAGTTGCTAAACGCTGAGCTGGGGACATTTTTGTAACTGGCTATCACAGAAATTATAACTTGGACACATAATTCTAGCTTTTTTACAGACTCAAAGGCTTCATAAGAAGAAAATAATTAAGTTGCAAGAGCCTGGAAAAATGGAGAGTGAAAGGGCAAACAGGTCTAGCTGTCGATAGCTTAAAAAATGAACAAATGTGCAAAATAGCTTTAATCTAGAATAGAAACAGGAATTTGGGCTGTATGAACAGTTTCTCTCAATTTAGTACCATCTCATGATGGACAAAGTTGAATTATGCCAGTTAGCCCTCAATGTCCAATGAAATGTTCATTTTCAGAGTAGAGAACATTTTATACTTAAAATGTGATACTTTTGCTTAACAGTAGTGTGAAAGCTATTGTTATTGGCGAATGATACAGCAGGAAACCATAAGACTGGTTATCATCTCTTCTTATGTAAAAAGAAGCCATATTTAGTACTCTCTCATCTGAAGCAGTGTATGGTTTTGGATTCTGTGCAGGAGCTTTGAAAAGCAGGCACCACTGAGTTGGCCCAGGAAGGGTTGGTTAGGGGACAGCACCTATCTGCACCGATGATGCGGGGTTCATTTCTCCAGCTCAAACCCATTTCTCCTTAACAGTGCTATGAAAGTTGACACCCCCCTCAAATAATAACTGCATTACTGTGCTCTCATTCTCTCATGATGGATTTTGAACTCCTCTTTTTTGCCCTAGTGATGTATACTTGTTATATATGACAGATCATGTAGGGAAACTGAAAAATAATTCTGACCTTCTCCCCATGGAGTAAGGCTGTGTTTTTTTCAACCTAATCAGTTAATTCTATATTTAAAAAAAAATTTAACTTACTGATGTATCTGCCTCATCAGTGCATTTCTGTACACTTGTCATGTTTTTAGCTCTTTAAAAATTACAAAAATATATAACCTATGTGATTGCTTGCTTTATTTAAGTAAAAGCAATTTAATTTAAAAAAAATAAGTCTTGTGTATATATATAAAAAATATTCTAAAAATGGTGAGAAAGCATGAATTTTCAGAAAAATTACCAAAAATAAACTTAACTTGCTTTCATAAGAAATCGAAAGATCATACTATAAAACCTTAATGGTCAACTTAATTACAATATTCCTGATTTTTATATAATAAGAATACTTCTGCTACTTCTGGTTGTAAATTGTCCAAAGTGTTTAAAATTTTATTCCATTCTTGCATTAAGAACCAACAGTAGAACTCATACTTTTTGATAAAAATAGTAAAATGCTTTTTGTTAAAATGCCAGTATAATCAAATAATCTTCTATAATAGCAACACAACTGTTGGTCAGTTTGTAATTTTCCTAAGGAATTTATTAAATGAAATATTGAGAGTTTTGAGAAAGAAGGATGAGTATTTTGCTAACAGATTGAACCTGAATTTCACAATCTGTTTAGCCATCTCCTCACATATGCTGTCCCGGGAACTGTCTCCCTAGTGGGCTCACTCTGCAGTGCGGTGAGGACATCCCCGTCTGGAAAGGATTGCTTCCTTGCTGGGCTGGCGGTGTTCCTTTTACAGCACAGACACCAGCGGGGCAGCTTTAAAACAGCATACTACCGTAGTCTCCATTACACTTAGAAATTAAACCTCCACCCTAACTCAGCATGAATAAAAATATTAATGAGGACATTAAGGTTGCTCACTGCATTACTTTTCTCACATTTCCAACTAGGTATCTGTGCTATTACATTTTAAATATAACTGGAAAGTTATCTGAAACCATTTTGGAGAGGGTTGAACTCCAAGGTTTTCCCACAGTGAAGAATATTATGTACCCCCTGGAGCTACCTGCTTGAAATTGCTTTGAAATCTCAATTTTTATCTCAATAAAGTCAAGGGATTTTTGCATTTCATGACAGAAGCACAGAGTGCAAAGACCCTGATGTGATCCCAATCTCTGGATCCACAAATAATATGAATATTAAAATGCTGGTTTAATTTACTTACCACTGAGTAAACTGACACTCTGTGAAAATAGCCTTCATTAACCAGGTCCCTAGAAGTGTTCATACCCCAAAGTAAAACAGCTTTATGGCATTTTTATTAAGAAAGTAAATTAGACTAATAGCACAACACGGCCTTTCTGTTACACAGGTTATACTGTGTCATTTTTTTAAATGACAATTTCCCTTTTGTATTTTAAATATTTGCCTAATCAGAAAGGGAGAAAGGGGAGGAAGCCTGAGGCACCTTGGTGGCAGCAGGTGTGAAAGGCCTAAAGACAGATCCCCTCATAATTCCCTCGTCTTTTTATACTAATTTTCCTTCACTGGAGCTCTTCTATGGGAGACTTTCACCTGGAAGGTCTTGGAAGGAGTGACATGGCTATCTTTTATCCTGTTTTCCTTATTAGAAAATATATTGCTATCGTCTCCTATGAACAACGCCAGAATTACAAGGCTGACTTCAATGCAGAGTATGATGAATACAGGGCCTTGCATGCCAGAATGGAGACTGTAGCTAGAAGATTTATCAAACTGGATGCACAACGAAAGCGCCTTTCTCCAGGCTCAAAAGAGTATCAGGTAAATGCATTTGTTCATAGAAGACTGACTTTCATGTTTTACTAATTTCTCTGCCTGGCCCAACCCCCAGGCCCCCAAGCATCCTGTTAGCCTTCAGAGTAGGTCTTCTTGCTGACCAACTTCTCTGCAGCTTTTAGCCTCTATTTAAAATTAGCTGGTATCTAAATATTTGAAGTAGTGCTTCAACCTGTATTTCTGTCCGTGGAAAAAATAACCTTCTATTTAATGTAATATGTGTAAAATATGTAATATATGCTTAATACATTTACTATACTATGTGTAGTGTATTGGGAAGAATACCAAACACAAATAAACAGGAAAACAAGTTGGATTTTGGATTCATCAAAACATTTTATTGCATTGTCAACTCAACTCAGGCTACAGCTCCAGATCTGGTACTGTTCCCCAAAACTCCAATTCCAAGTCAATACTTTAAGTAATTTTTAAATAACCTCAGTCTGGAATAGAAAATGGAAGATGTAGACATGAAATATAACAAGGGGCTTAATACCACAGAAGTTTGGGGTTTAAGTGAAGAAAAACATGGTGCTTACAGCTGTTCCAGAGACAGACATTTGTTAGCAGGTAGTGATCAGTTTCACTTTCCTACTTTAAGTGGTAATAATATTACTACAGCTCAAAGAGCAACAGAAGCCTGACCTGATTATTCTCATGGTTCTTAGCAAAAGGGTTAATATAAACAAGTGTTTCCTTGCTTGCATAGACCAGATAATTTGGTCGCACTTCACAGGCATAGATGGTGCCGCCATCCCGGCCCACTGCCATTGTTCTGATAGGATCCCAGCAAGAGAATGGATGAGTTTTCCTACAGGGGAGGGCCTGTGCCCTAGATATCCATTATGACTTCTATTAGGAGGCCTTAGTCTCTTAAACAAGCCGCCTAGAATTATATATTTTTCCAGAGGAGTTGGTGTTTGAGGATGCGAGAAGACGGTGATATGGTGGTTTCGGGTTTGTAGTTTTCTATGTAGTTATTGACCAGTGTAACATGATTGTATTCCAAGGATTGTTTGGTGGTTAGAAGTAGCTCCAGAACCAGAATGCTGGGTTTGGTTCCAAGGTCCTACCATTTAATACTTGTGTGACCTTGGGCAAGTTACTTAACTTGCCTCAAAATCCCCATCCATAGAATGAGGTGACCATAGATTTGTGCAGAATAAATGTAAGCATTTGGAACCTGCTTAGATCCATCGTACATCAGGTTATATGATACTTAAGGGTTAGCCATTTTCCCCAGCCACCCAGTTTTCCTCCCTAGAGATAACCAGTAGTGCTGGTTTCCAGTGTATTCTTTAAGAGTCGCGCGTGTGCATGCATGTGTGTAAGAGGTATATACACAAGCAAATTCACATATATACCATACATAATTAAATCTAAGAGGTATAATGACAAGATACACTATTGTGTTATGTTCAAGTAAGTTAAACTATGATACATCTTCACCTGATTTCATTGAGAAGAAATATGCATCTTAGAATTAATGAAATTCTTAGAATATATATTCTGTTTCCTTCTTTTAAACAAATGATGTCATTGTATAAATAGTTCTGCACTTTGCTTTTTTAACTGAACAATACAAATGCATCTTAGAGAATTTTTAAATATAAGTACATAAACACTCCTCCCTTGTTTAATGCTCTCCTTAGTATTCCTTTGCATGGATTAATGGACACTTCGATGTGGTTTACTATCTTTTGCTTTACAAGCAGTGCTTCAGCAAGTGACCTTCCACACACATCACTTCACTCAGACACCAGTAAATCAGAAAGAAAGTCTAAGTGCCAAGCCAGTTTTGCATTTGCTATACTGATAACAGTTGCCAAATTACCTTCCTTAGTAATTGTACTGATTTACATTCCCATCATCAATATTTCCCCACACCCTTTCAAATGTGTGTTAACTATATATATTGAAAACAAAAAATGTTCTCTTCTGATTTCTAATTTTTAATTTTGTAGAATGTTCATGAAGAAGTCTTACAAGAATATCAGAAGATCAAGCAGGTGCGTATCATTACTGTTGGTTTTCTGACATGGAGTTGGGAAGTAATTACAAACTATGTAACCTGATTCCTCCTGTTCTTTTCCATCTACAGTCTAGTCCCAATTACCATGAAGAAAAATACAGATGCGAGTATCTTCATAACAAGCTGGCTCATATCAAAAGACTGATAGGTGAATTTGACCAACAGCAAGCAGAGGCATGGCACTAGAGCTCTGCTTGGACCAGAAGATGTGAATAAACTTAAGCTTATTTATTTAAAATTCCAAATGAGTTGCTCTAAGATTCTAAAAAAGGAAACTTTGCCTGTTGAAAGTTTCAGTATTTGTAAACTTGAGTTAACTATTTTTTTTCTTTCTGTCCCCCTCCCACAACCCCTAATTTCTTTGCCTCCCTGCAATTTTGAAGCTGCTTTTTCTGGTCCTTCCCCACCCCCTCCCACCCCCCCCCCCCCCCGCCCCCCGTCAAGACTTGTGTTTGTCAATAGAAGTAAATTTTTTTAGATATTGGGGATCCAGTATCTATACTTTAAATCAGTTATTTTTTCTTATAAACTTGTTTGTAATTAGCAATGATTTTTTTAGATATTGGGGATCCAGTGTCTATACTTCAAAGTTATGTGTGTTAAAAAACAAACCAGTAATGTGCAAGGTGAAATGCGTTTGGATAAACATAAGCCTATTTTCTGACCTTTCTTAATGCAAACTCTTTGCCTTAAATGGTAGAATATTTAGAAATTTGCACAAAATACAAAAAAAATTAAAACATTGTATTGGAGGGTTAAGAAATAAAAAGGTCTACGAGTATGTATATGTGTGTAGCTACACATACACACATATATATACAGGCTGACTTAATCTAGAACAGTAAAGTGCCCTGCAAGTTAACCCCCCATTGCAATGGTTGCCTTAAGGTGTTTGCTAGTTATGTACATAGTGTGGTTAATCATTAGCTACACTGCTTCCCACCTGATTGGAGCAACGGGAAGCACACTGTGGCCTACCAGCGTCTGAACGCGTGTGCGCGACCTGTGTGTGTGCAGAGGTGGTGTGGATGTGAGCGTGCATGAAGGAAAAAAAGCTGCTACTCTTAGTAGGCCAAACGCTCAGGTTAAACAACTGACGAGTGTTACTGTAGGTTTTTGTTTTTGTTCTTGTTTTTTGTTTTGTTTTTTTTTTGTCCAATTGCTACTTCTATTGTGAAAGACAAAAGCATTTCCATTTCAACTGTTTGTCAGCTTTGTCGTTGGGCAAAATTGGTATGTTATGAAAATGAAACAAATCTATAGTTTTGGGGCAAAATTATAAAATTAAATATGTAGGTAAACTATTTATATACTGCTATAAAGTATTTTTTGAGGAGAGATGTGCAAAGAAGTTATTACCTACATGAAATGTATATTTAAAGATTTTTTTCTTCATCCTGGGTGCCAGGAATATAAAAAAGAGTGGATATATTTAACAATAGCATACTGTGATTCATCAAACAGCACAAACTTTCAGTTCATGGAGTTTATCTGTTGACGTTGATTTAAACTATCACTTGTTTTATCATGTGGGAACATAAGTTATGTCAAAATGTAAGGATTTTGAACTAATGTTGATTCAAGTTGTGTTGTCTTACCGTATTGTCTTTTCAAAGTGCTGCCAGTTAAAAAGGGAAGCATTATGTTTACAAATCTGTTTTGAAATGTTTGCCAAATTTTGGTAGTATCTTTAATAAAGATGTTTGTCTCCAGCATCCAAAAATAAATAACTCTGTTGTGTATCACTGTAAACCAGGAAAATGTTATTATCTAGAAAACCTGAGAGAGCATGTAGATGAACTTTCTCTTTGGAGTTCTTAGATAATGTAGAAGTACACAAACTTTACCAAGACTAAAACAAGACCCTCTACACTACAACTCTATAACATTATTGCAGAAACTTAATTTCTATGTAGCATGAACCTCTTGGGAATTCGATTTCTTTTAGCATTGAGATCCCTAGTGCTCTTCTTTTTTCCTCAGAATTGGTACAATCATTAGTAAATGTTAATTGATTTCAAACTTTCAATTGCAAAAAAGATAGGAAACTTAATTGGGGGTAAATTTGGTCCTCATATTATTATGGTGGAGTCTGCTGAGGGATTTGTCTGTAGATAATGACCTCATTGGTGTTTAATCAAAGATTGTGTGCTGCTATTTGCTATGAGTGGTGTTTCTCAAAAGCAAGGTGCTTGGACCACTTACATCACCCAAATTAGAATCTCTGGGTATAGGGCCCAGGTAGTCATCCACTACCTGGTATCCTCCAGGTGACCTGCAAGCTAAAGTATGAGAACCATTGGCTTGGATGTAGTGCTAAACCTTAGGTCTCTAAATCTCAAAGTCTTGAAGTTCAACTGTTGGCTTTTTTTTTTTTTAAACCACCTCTATCAGCAGGTACACATCACTTTTTCCTCAAGATGAGAGGCACCTTCTCAATTGTTTCACTGCCAACTCTTATTTCAGAACTTGTTTACAGACAAGTCTTCTAGTTAGGTAATTGTTAGCCCTTAGAGTTCCTACCCACCCACATCTGCACATCTTCTGGTTTACAAATTGGGTAATAGAAGCTGGAGATGCTTTACAAAAATCCAGCACTGCATACCCATAGACTTGACCACAAACCTATAAAAGCCTTAATTTAGACGTTTATTGTGTACCATGGGCAGATCCTTATAAAATGTGTATCAGTTATAAATCTCTGACTCTGCTGCTACCTGAGGCTGCATCTCTTTTGAAGACAGGCATAAGCCTATTAAAATATATCATTTTTCATATCCTACTGTTAGATTTTTAGATACTTTCAAGTCATTGCTGCAGGAGTGTGTGATCACTTAGTTACTTTGGTCAAAGAATCTATTCAGTTTTTTTGAAAGACACAGTGTAAAAGAGCATTGTCAAGATGAGAGAGGGAGTTATGTTTTCATCACATTTCATGTAAAATAATTTGAAGCATTCTTGAAGATTTTTACCAACACTCATAAATTGACTCTAAATTGAATGAGCAGCTAATTTAATATAAACCAAAAAGAACATTAATTAGGTGTGGTTTTGTTTTTTTATGTGGGGATTTAATTTCCTATCTTCTTGGGTTTTATTTCTCAAGGAGTAACTTAAAGAGTTAAACTTTCACCTCTAGTGGTAGATGTTAGGACTGGCTCTCTCAAAAGTAATTGGTGTGGTCAGTTTCTATCGTTGCTCCATTCATTGATTCCAAAAATTCAGTATTTTCATTCATCTCTGATGGATCTTTTAACTGTTAGAGGAGTTTTCTTTTCCCTTAAAGTATTTCACTTTATTATGAAAATAAATGCATACTTGCATGTTGGAAGCAAGATGTTGAAATGAGGTTTAGCCACAAATGGTCCATTAATTCCAACACTGCTTGGTTGCCGTACCTCTTGCATTACTTTGTTCTTTGCTCCTGGAACTTGTCTGAAACGTTTTAGCCAGTTCATTGTCTTTCTGGCAGGGTGAGTGTTATCATGTGTGCTTGGTATATGCCTTTACTACTTCTGAAGTGCTTACAGTTTATTACTTCCCCAAGTGTTACTAAATCCTTTTATTACATGTACCAGATTGGGGAAAATTTATAACCAGCACTTTGAGAGGAACATGTTGGGAAAGGATATTTAATGGACACTGTTAAATGGAGGCAACAGGAGATATTATCCATTTTCTTTGTAACCTAAAAACCTGAACAAGGCTGTGAGGCTCGTTTCAAAACATTTTGAAGTGTTAAAAATTTATATACACACACACACACACACACACACACACACACACACTGTTTCTCAGTTACATCCAAACCATGTTAGGACTCTCAAAGGTAAAATGTCACAGGGACTTTTCAGTTGTTACTGAGCTCAGCAGCTGTAGTGGCCCCTGTTATTCTACACCAATTTCAGTTCAATAAAAATGTAAACATTGCACTGCTGGTATCTGTTTTGCCTTTGTCTCATTTCAAGCCCTTAATCCTTAACTTTGTCTTAAAAAACAACAACAAAAAATGCCCCACACCAAAGTGCTCTCTGATGTCCTAATGTAAATGATCTTCCTAGGACAGATATTTATTGGTGACTCTAAAAGTCGGAGCAGGGTGTCTGTCTGCTCCGGAACGCTGCCTGTTTATAATTTTAGGACATACCCTCCACAGGCAACATCTAGGGGAACAGTAATCATAGTTAGCATTTGTTGAGGGTTTTCCTGTGGGATACATACCCTTCTGCATCCATGGTCCCATTTCTCCTCACCACAGCCCTGTTATACCCATTTTGTTGGTGAGTAAACTAAGGTTGAGAGAAGTTAAGAAATTTGCCCATCACCCAGCTAGTAAGCAGTGGAGCCTAAGAAACCTGATTTCCATGTCTGTGTTCTTAACCACTTCTCCACGATATCCCTCATATGTTCGTACCAGTTTAGGGTTAGAGTAATCTTCACAAAGTGATCATTCTAATAACATCGGAAGGGCTAGAAAAATGTTTTGATTCAAAGGAGACTAGAATGTGAGTATGATGTCTACTGGATTATTCTCAGCAGGTTGATTTTATCAGAATTGATAAATTTGAAGGAAGGCCAAAATACTTTTTACGAAAAGATATGTTCATTTTCTTCATGACTGTGTATAGTCTTAACAAGGCTACTAGTATTTGAAGGAGACTGAGGCAGTGAAGGCAGAGACAGGAGGCAGGGGTATGGCCTTGGAATCACACCATTTTCTTTTCATATTAAAAGGCTGTCTCCCTAACAACAGACTAGCTCTAGGATCCCTGTCTGAATTAGTCATAAGGACATCCTCCTGTTTCTATAAGATTTCTGCAGGAACAATGGAAGATGAAAGGAAGAAAGTCTCAATTAAGCATTGATGTTAAAAACCTAGAATGTTTAGTGCCAGCAGTGATTCTGGTTAGGTTTACAAGGAGCCTCACAGATTAATGAGATTCCTAATGTAATTGTGGCAGCGGCCCTCCCCCACCAGACATTTAACATGTGCTTGTCTTTTAATTCCTTTCCTCAGCTGTAAAGTGGAAATACGCCTTCTTACTGGGTATGAAAGAAGCTTAATTACTGTTTATAAAGCACTTGGGTGTTCCATGAAAAACAGCTATCTAAATTACATATTGTCTGCTGAACGCATTGGGAGACTTGGGAGCATTATTTTCCAGGTGACAATGGGTCTATTTTGACTGATGGCAAAGGGGACAAAGGCAGAGAGAAGAGAGAGGCGGAGGGTTCTAGGTGAGTGCCTGGGGTTTGTTTTATTGAATGCCAGGCTCTCAGGTACCTGCTCCACTGGTTTTACCTTTCTGACACGGACAGGAGGCTAGCAGTGGCAAGAGATGGCTCTGATATTTTATGATTGCTTAATTGTCATGTTGGGGTCAGATGATTCTGCTGTGTGTGACTGGAGATGCGTCATTCACAACTCCTGCCTGCTTAATTCAACTGGCCAGCCAGGCTGGTTTGTCTGACTGTAATTAGATACTTGGTACAATGTGGGCATTTGTAGATGGACGATAAAAATCCTATATCTGGGTCTGTGAAATGTAGGAGAATGCCTCCTAAAGGTGAGCTCCCAGAATTAGCCACCAAGCCTGAGTTCTAAAGCTGGGGCTTGTAGGGGAATGGCTGGCTGCCTTTCTATACAGGTTCCCAGTGGGCTTACAGAATTCTAGACAGGCAGTGGGAGCCAATTTGCCAGTCTCGTCTCCTGCTACACTCACTCTCTGCCACCAGTCGCACAGGCCTGCCCACAGGTTTTTCCTATCCCAGGCCCTTACTGTCACTTGTTGTCCCTTCTGCACCACCAGCCTTACCTTCCAGCCCTTCCTCACTTAGCTCATCCCTCCTTACCCTGAAGATCTCTGTTTAAACATCACTTCTTTCCAGGAAGCCTCCCCTGACCCCTCAGACAAACTCAGGTCGCCGTGGTATATGCTCTCATTTCATGCTTCTCCTTTAGGGCATTTATGACAATTGTAACTAAATGCTAATTGTATTATTACTAATCAAATAAGTGTCATGGCAGTAGAGACTGTCTTGCTCACTAGGGTATCCCCAGCTCCTGGCCTAGTGCCTGGCATACAGAAGGTACTCAGTAATAATGGATTGAAAGAATGACCGAAGCAGGCTATTTGTATATGTCACACAAAGTTAACGTTGCAGAGGACTTGGACCACTGCGAGAGTCTGCTGTGTCATTCGCTGTGCCCTGCCACTTCTCGCCCCGAAGTCCTGACTGAGGAAAGGCTCACCGACCTGACTTCGGGAATCCCTTTGCCACGATTAACTAACTGGACACCTTCAATGTCTTTCCAACATTGGATTCACCCCTCCAGTCACCTTTGGATTATGAGCATCTGCATTAGTCTATCATGGTTTGGAATGTAAAATGAAATGGTTTAAAAAGATACTTTTATTATAACTGACTCATTATTATATATAACTGACTTTTATTATTCTGACTCATTTCCTAATTATTTTTTCAATAGTTTTTCTCTCACTTCTCAACGATGTGGGAGAGGATAGCCATCTTAAGATAGTGTTGCATCTCACTTTTCCATCTTCGTGAAAGCATGCCCAGCCTGATGTTTCTTTAAAGTCAATATGTGCTTTTATTGAAACTTATTTTATGCCCAACACTTCTGGAACCACCTAGGCAGTATGCATATAAAGGGTTATCCAAGGGTTTGGGGATTCCTGTAATGACAGAGCTAACAGAGCCCATCAACAGTATTAGGCACCACTGCCTCCCCTTCACAGATGATGAGATGGAGGTGTTTGAATGACAGCCCCTCGCAGAGCCAGATGGACCCCAGGAGCTTACATCTTCCTAGAGGGAGGCTGAACATAATAAAGAGAGGGTCTGGCAAAATGCCAAACAAGGTGTACCACTCAAGCAGTTCAGAAAGCCTGACTCGGAATCCAGGGTCTGCCACTGTCAAACTACGCACATGGGCAAGCTTATACAGCTCTCTAGCCTCAGTTTCCCACCCATGAATGGGACAGTGCCCACCTCAGAGGGTTGTTGTGATAACATATATGTGGAATGGTACATGGCACCTAATAAGTTTCCTATACGTACTTTCATGGTTTATTTTCTAATGATTTACTTTGATTTGGACAGTTTTTAGGAATATACCTGATAAATAAGCAGCCAGCCAGAACTGGAAACCTTATTGGGCTAATTTAGATTTTTGCATAACAGTGATGGAGCCCGTATGTTAGATCAACACATCCCAGAACGTTTTAAGAGTCACTGCTCCCAATTACTCTATGAAATAAGTTTTCTTTGTGAATCTTATCAAGTGCCACATTAGTGGCCCTAAACAGCACGGATACCAGTCACTTAGTTATAGTGCTGATGCATTTGTTCCAAACTTGAACATACTCTGTATTAATTCTTTTTTCCAGTTGTCTTCATAGGGGAGAGTTTGTAATGAGCCGTGTTTTCTGTAAGTTTAAGTGCTTCTTGCCCGCTTGTTACTTGAGAGGGTTGACACGGTTCATTTCAGGTAAGGTGAGCTGCGAAAAAGTCTGCCATGAACATGACTCTGTCCTACACCTGTAAGCTTTTCCTTCCCTCAAGGATAGGGCTCATTTAACTCAACTTTGCCAACGGAGAGCCAAGAGGGTCTCCAGGGGTCTCAGGGCCACCTGAGCTACAGAACTCTGCAGCTGAGAACAGCTATAAAAGGACACTGGGGACTGCGGGCAAAGCCACCTCCTATCTACCCTCATCCTCCCTGCCTCTCTCTCTGCCCCAGTTGACACGTTTTTATTGCTGTGGTAGCCAATTACTACCACCCCACCTGCTCCTCCCTTCTCAGCTCACTATTCTCACCTGCATGAACTACAATGGCTCCTCCCTTCCGTTAATGTGCACATCTTATCATTTTCCCTCTGTCTTTGGTTACAGATGAGTTGGCTTATAGATAGTGAGAAGGCCAGTTCAGAACCAGGGACCTACAAGCAAGACACAAAAAGTTAAGGAAGTAAAGTTGAAAATGCTTTGCGATAGAGGGGAAAGAATGCAGTCCTACACCTGGGTCTCAGTCCTAGTTCTGAGATTTACCAAACTATGACCCAGGGCAATTTGTCTAAACCCCTAAGTCTTCCTTCCACCATCTCTTATAAACTAGGATAATACCTACATACTGTAGCTAAGTGAAGATTAGATTGTTGCATTTAACTAAAGGGACTTGGTAGGGCACTCACAAAGCAACACTGTTTATTCTCACACGTGTCCCTAAAAACCCACATTGGTGGCTGTTTCTCTACCCTCAGCAATAAAATCTAGGCCAGGTCTTATAATTTCCCCAGGACAACTCTAATATGATAAGTCCGGTGGTCAATTTCGGCATAGGTCTCATTTCAGTAATTAATAAGACTAGTCTTATATAGAAGCCAAAACTCTGAAATGCAATTAAAATGAAAGATGTTCCATTCTTTCAGCTTAGGCCTGCTTTAGGCGGGAAGACAAGTGCTTCTTGCCCTCCTCCAACCACGCAGTGCCCCCAGGTTGAAGGAGCAGAAGGTAGGGCGAAGAGATAAAGGGCAGGGGAGACTGGCCTTGGCTTCCTCTAGGCATTGTCTGACACTTGGATCCTTTGACCATCACCTCCCCATCTCCCTCAGTCCTCCAGCCCCTGCTGATCACCTTCTACTCTGCTTCTATGAGTTTAACTATTTTATACTCCACACATAAGTGAGAAAAAACAGTATTTGTCTTTCCCTGGTCTAGTCTATTTTGTTTAGCATAACATACTCCAGTTTCATTTATATTGTTGCAAATGGTAGGATTTCTTTTTTAAGGCTGAATATTAGTCCAGTGTGTGTGTGTGTGTGTGTGTGTGTGTGTGTGTGTGTGTGGCATTTTCTTTATCAATTCATCCATCAGTGGACATTTAGGTTGCTTCCATATTTTGACAA